GCACAACCCCTCAGCACAACCCCCGAGCACAACCCCTCAGCACAACCCCTCAGCACAACCCCCCAGCACAACCGATCAGCACAACCCCTCAGCACAACCCCTCGGCACAACCCTCCAGCACGACACCTCAGCACAACCCCTCAGCACAACCCCTCAGCACAACCCCCCAGCACAACCCCTCAGGACGAACCCCCGGCACAACCTCTCAGCACAACCCCCCAGCACGACCCCTCAGCACAACCCCTCAGCACAACCCCCCCCCAGCACGCCTCCCCCCAGCACAACCCTCCAAGCACGACACCTCAAGCACAAACCCTCAGCAACCCCGACCAGAAACCCCTCAGCACAACCCCTCAGCACAAACCCTCAGCACAACCCCCCAGCACAACCCCTCATCACCACAACTTCTCAGCACAACCCCTTAGCACAACCCCCACAGCACAACCCCTCAGCACAACTTCCCAGCACAAGCCCTCAGCACAACCCCTGAGCACAACACCTCAGCACAACCCCTGAGCACAACCCTTCAGCACAACCCTTCAGCACAACCCCTCAGCACAACCCCTCATCGGCACAACCCCCAGCACAACCCCTCAGCACAACCCCTCAGCACACACCCCGAGCACAACCCCTCAGCACAACCCCTCAGCACACCCCCGAGCATGATCAACCCCTCTGCAAATCCCCTCAGCACAACCCAGCACACCCCTCAGCACAACCCCTCAGCACAACCCCTCATCACAACCCCTCAGCACAACCCCTCAGCACAACCCTTCAGCCCCACTCCTCAGCACAACCCGTCAGCACTACCCTCCAGCACAACCCCTCAGTTCAACACCCCAGCACAACCCCTCAGCACAACCCCTCAGCACAACCCCTCAGCACAACCCCTCAGCGCAACCCCACAGCACAACCCCTCAGCACAGCCCCTCAGCACAACCCCTCAGCACAACCCCCAAGCACACCTTCCAGCACGACCCTCAGCACCATCCTCAGCACAACCCTCCCAGCACAAACCCTCAGCACAACCTCTCAGCTCAACCCCCAGCACAACCCCTCAGCACAACCCCCCCAGCACAACCCCTCAGCAAAACCCCCCAGCACAACCCCTGAGCACGACCCCTCAGCACACCCCCCGAGCACAACCCCTCAGCACAACCCCCCAGCATAACCCCTCAGCACAACCCCCCAGCACGCCTCCCCCCAGCACAACCCTCCAGCACAAAACTCTGCACAATCCCTCAGCACAGCACCAGGGCACAAACTCCTCATGGACGCAAACCCCTCAGCACAACCCTCAGCACAACCGCCGACACAAACCCCCTCAGCACAACCCCTCAGCACAACCCTCCAGCACAACCCCTCAGCACAACCCCTCAGCACAACCCCTCAGCACAACTCCCCAGCACAACACCTCAGCACAACCCCTCAGCACAACCCCTCAGCACAACCCCCCAGCACAACCCCTCAGCACAACCCCCCGGCACAACCCCTCAGCACACCCCCCCATCACGACCCCTCAGCACAAGCCCTCAGCACAACCCCTGAGCACAACCCCTGCCGGTCGCACAACCCCACAGCACAACGCCCCAGCACAACCTCTTCCGCACCTGGGGGGTGATCGCGCTGGGGGGTGGTCGTGCTGGGGATTGTGCTGGGTGGTTGTACTGGGTGGTCGTGCTGGTGGTCGTGCTGGATGGTCGTGCTGGGTGGTCGTGCTGGGTGGTCGTGCTGGGTAATCGTGCAGGGTGGTCGTGCTGGGTGGTCGTGCTGGGTGGTCGCGCTGGCTGGTCGTGCCGGGTGGTCGTGCTGGGTGGTCGTGCTGGGTGGTCGTGCTGGGTGGTCGTGCTGGGGGGTGGTCGTGCCCGGGGGTCGTGCTGGGTGGTCGTGCTGGGGGGTGGTCGTGCTGGGTGGTCCTGCTGGGCAGTCGTGCCGGGTGGTCGTGCTGGGTGGTCTTGCTGGGTGGTGGTTCTCGGTGGTCGTGCTGGTTGGCTGTGCCGGTGGTCGCGTGGCAACACCCGATTCGTTAAGAAATTCGGGGGCGAAAGCTGGGTTTCGCACCGGGGTTAAGAAATTCACCGAAGCTGGGTCTCAATATCTTAACACACAATTTCTTAACACAAGTTATGAGTGTAGACACAATGTGACACAATTAATCGGCGACTCCCAAGAAAATCTGGAAAAAATATGGGAAGTGGGAGGGGGAATACGAAATCCCAGAAAATATTTGAAAATATCGGGAATTCTGGGATTTGTGCCTATTTATTTGTGGTCCCTGGGCCCCGTCAGTCAGGGGCAGCGATACGGGGAGATAGGCACAGGCGGGCGACACATCGACCCCCAGCCCAATCGCCCACCCATCGCCGATAAGCGCCCGACCGCCCCAACCTGCCCAGGAACGCTCGGATTTACTATCGGGGGCGCATCGCCGATTTATCGGGGATGTATCGCGGGCGGAGCTAGGACGAGGACAAATCCGATCCAGAGCGTTCCGGAACGCTCTCGGAGCGTTCCGGGACGCTGTGATAAGGCCGCAGCGCCCGAGGCATCTGCCAGAGCCGCCAGATCTCAAAGATTTGCGATGTCAGGGGGACAAACAATGACAAAATCATACAAACTCGGAGGTCCGCGCGGATTTCTTGGATCGGCGTTGGGGCCCCCTGGCGGCGCCTCTGGCGCCGCCCCTGGCGCGCTCCGCGCGCCAGAGAGCGGCGCCCAGCGCGGGCTTGGCTCTTTCTTTTTTCCCCCGTAGCTTTTTTTTGGTTTCCCTTTGGGGGGGCTTCGGGGGGTTCTTGGGAGCTTTTTTTTGTACCCCCTCCTGGGGGGGTGGTACGGAGGGGGGAACCAGGCTTTGCCGCTGGCTTGGCCGCTTTTTTTGTTTCCCCCAGAAGTTGTTTGTTTTTCCCTGGCGGCTTTTTTTTCCCCCCCAGGGTAGGGGCGGGGGGGTGGCCGGGGGGCTCGAAGCTTTGATTTCTTGTCCCTCGAAAGATTTTTGTTGGTTCCCCCTCGACGTTTTTTTTGTTTCCCTCGAGGCTTTTTCCCCCCCCCTCCCATTCTGGGGGGAGAGCGGGGAGGGGGGGGCGCCGGAGGGGGCTCCCGCAGGGGGGGGAGGTTGCCGGTGAGGGGCCCAGGGGGGGCGCCGCAGGGGGACTCCGGTGCGGGCCTGGAAGGCGCCGGAGGGGGGCCGCGGGGGGCGGGGCGGGGGGGGCGGGGAAGCGCCGGAGGGGGGCCCTGGCGTGGGCCTGTGGATATCTCCTTGGGGGGGGGGCGCCGAGCAAGCTTGTGTAGGCGCCAGAGCTTGACGTCTCGTTTCCAGCGCAAGATGGCGTTCATGGCGATGATGAAGATAGTTCGATGATGATGACGATGATCATGTTGATGATGAGGAGGGGGAGGATGATGCTCTTGATGACAATGGTGATGATTACTGATGACAATGATGATGTTTACTGATGACAATGATGATGATGATGATGATGATGATGATGATGATGATGATGATGATGATGATGATGATGATGATGCTGATGCTGATGATGATGATGATGATGCTGATGCTGATGCTGATGCTGATGCTGATGCTGATGATGATGATTACCGGTGATGACATTGATGACAATGATGATAACAATGATGACATTGATGACAATGATGATGATGTTGATGGTGGTGATGGTGATGATGGTGATGATGATGATGATGATGATGATGATGATGATGATAATTATGGCGACGACGGCGACGACGACGACGGTGGTGGCGACGACGACGACGGCGACGACGACGACGGCGGCGGCCAATGCATGCCAATGCATGCCAAGGCGTGCCAATGCATGTCATGGGATGCCAACGCATGCCAATGCATGCCAATGCATGCCAATGCATGCCAATGCATGCCAATGCCTGCCAATGCATGCCAACGCATGCCAACGCATGCCAACGCATGCCAATGCATGCCAATGTATGCCAATGCATGCCGATGCATGTCAATGCATGCCAATGCATGCCAATGCAGGTCAATGCATGCCAATGCATGCCAATTTGCATACGAAATTTGCATGCCAACGCATGCCAATGCATGCCAATGCAGGTCAATGCATGCACATGCATGCCAACGCATGCCAACGCATGCGAAT